AGTCTTATAAGTCAGTCAGTCTTACTAGGATCCTGAGATCACTACAGCTAAATGTTCAATGTCATGGAGTTGCATTTTATTTTATTTTATTTTTTAAGTAAGCTCCATGCCCAGCATGGAGCCCAACATGGGGCTTGAACTCACGACCCTGAGATCGAGACCTGAGCTGAAATCGAGTCAGACACTCAACCCAACTGAGCCACCCAGGCACCCCGTGGAGTTGCATTTTAAAGTGAGGGCTGTTTCTGCTTTTCCGCATACAGGAAGAAGGGTTATATGAGAAAAGTGTACTCCTCCCTCAGTCCTTTTAAACTGAGAATGCATTTTCCACAGAAATAAAAAGTGGACAGGGTCCCAGGCTAGACCTCAAGGACGATCCAACTTTAAGGCAACTAAATACTTAGCATTTAATAAAGCAAAAAACAACTGCAGTAACAGAAATCAAAACAAACAAAAAAATTAAAAATAATGAATATTTTCATTTTGAATATTGCTTGGAAAAAATAGATGTATGCTAGATTTTGGATATTTTCAAAGTGATTAGAGAAATATTTTTTATATCTAATTTAACTTCAAAATGTGAAACAGGTTTCCTTTCCCTTATGTTCTACCAGCAATTAATATGAGGCACAATCATATTATAAAGTAAGCATTTACATTTCATTTACATTTTTAAAAAACTCTAGAAAAGACACGATTCTGACATTCCACCCAAAGAATCTCTACAAAAATCTTTCCTGGTTACTCAATTCCATGCATTCCCCATTTTTTCCTTAATACTTTTTACCCCACCTTGCTATACAAGGATTTGTCTAAACATGTATGCCCCTACCAGAACATAACCTCCTGCAAAGATCAGGTCTAATTCACCTCGTGTTTCTCTCAGCACTTGGCTCTGACCATAGCTGGCTTTCAATAAAAACTATAAATCAAAGCAGGCTACTGCTTTAGGTGAAAACAGCTGACCTTAAACTCAGGCAACTCCTCTCTATAATTTTAACTCATAATCCTAGATATGGTGGAACACGCACTGGACTGGGGATCATCAACAGCTCTGTCACTGACTGCCTCTGCAATCTTGAATAAATCAAAAATCACCGAGGCCATAAATTTTTAGGATCAGGAATTTTGTACCATGTTTTCCCAGACACCCAGCATTTGATAATCATTTACCACTTCAGCCACCACGCACCCGTATGCAAAACCCTTACTTTATGATGATATAGGGATCAGCTTTAAATGAATGCTAAAATTACAGGCTATCATTCCCGTTCCCTTTTCTATGTAAGATCTACAAAGTCAGACCACAGAAAATGGTTATTTTTTTTCAAACATGTCTAATAGGTGTTCCTTTCGTGAGCTTTTAAAATAAAAAACAGGAATTGAAATTCTGGTAGTCTTCGTCAGTAATAATCAGGAATGTTCCAGTCATGCTCCTATTGCTCCTTGTAAGGATGAAAGAATTTTCCAAAATCAGGTCCAAAGGGCGGTGAGGGACTTCGCTCAGAAAGAGTACAAGAAAAAATAATGGGTAGGGTTGCAATTATTTCGATCAGAAGCAGAGTCAAAGTTGCCTCTTGTAGAGACAAGAATTAAATATAAAACAAATAAACGAGCTCCACTCTATAGTGCTGCCCAACATGGAAACGTTCTCCATCTGCACTGTCCGGCAGTGCAGCCACAAGCCACACCATGACTGTCGAGCACTTGAAATGTGCCCAATGAGAAACTGAGTTTTAGATTTTACTTAATTTTAACTAATCTAAATTTAAGTAGCCAGATGGGGCTAGCAGCTACCATACCGAACACGCAGCTACAGATTCCCTAAGTCTGTGGGTCTCAACCAGAGGCAGTTTCCCCAACCCCCAGGGAACAATTTCTTCATTTGATGACTTTGGTTCAGAAATGCTACAGGGAGAGGCCAGGGATGCTGCTCAACATTCTACAATGCACAGGACAGCTTCTCACAAGAGCATTATCCAGCCCAGAATGCCAGGAGGGCTGAGTTTAAGTTTACTCAAGGTTGGAACTAAAGTAAATGCAAATAAATTGCAATACACTTTGTCGAAATGTAATACCCAGGAAGAATGAGCTTTTCCAAGCAACAGGAAAAGGTCTGGGCTGTTGTACAAGTTTAAAGTAGCAGGTTTTTACTGAAAAGTGTATATTTTTGTTTGTTTGTTAACTTATTAAGTGTATATTTTGTTTGTTAACTTATTAAGATCTGAAGCATCAGAGTAATTACTTCCTGTGGCATTTTTAAAACTTGATTATTAACGTAAGTAAACATTGTGAGACTATGCGATAGGGCCTTGTTCCTTATGAGCTGGACATAGAGTATTGAGGGGCTGAGGCTCCTACAACTACTCTTCCAGTTTGAATGCCCTGCCCCTTCCAATTGACCTGTCTTGGTTTCTTGAGACCTCACTAAGTTCAGATACAATGGATAGTACTGTGAAAGAAAAGTAACCAAAGAAAACGGCTCTGTCATCACAGGTCTCCCATCTACATATTATCTAAAGAAAAAGCAAGAGTACAGGATTATATTTGGACCAAAGGAAATGTACTAACTGATTCTACTAAATGATGATGGACTACTACATTTTAGAGAGAGCGATTACTTGAAGTTAGAGGATGGGAATCAAATAACATTGTGGTTTCTGTAGCCAGTATAAATTATGCAAGGATCGGTTTAAATGGGATCATTCAGAACTGCTCCAATAGTTTATATTTGCAATGTAGAATTTAGCCCAGAGGAGCCTATTCCTCAAAGAAACAGGAATAATGGACACAATTCAATGTTTTTACTTTGATTCAAACTATTTTTCAGAACATGAAATCCTCAACATTCATATTATAGCAATTCTTTTCCTTTTCTGCCCACTTAGCACCAACAGAAATTGTTCACTACATGTGAGGCCCTCTACTGCTACAGGGAATACAAAAATAAGACATAGTCTTAGTCCTGAAAAACTTACATTCAGAATTTCCACACTGGCCTAAGGCAGAAACTTCCAGCCCACACATTCTGAATTCCTCAAAGATCACTGCCATTTTTGTGAATGTTCCAGTCTTAAGCACTCTGGAGTTTCAGTACCTCTTCAGATCTTCATTTAGAGTTTACGATCTTTTATCATCAATTAACATTTATAGGGAGAAACCAGTATTATTGACTAATTAAATGCCAGAAAAGTAATATTTAAAGTGGGATTCCAACCCACTCTGTTTTTGCAGATTTGCCTATAAAAAAATATTCTTGGAGGAAAGATCACGCCAGTTCTTTAGGTTTCTAACTGAAAAGACACAAAGCCCATCCTGTCTTATGAAACTGGACAGGAAACAACACTGAAGGGGCAATCTTAGCGTCATTTTATATTCAACTATTGGCATCACACATATGATCTAGACCAGGATTCTCAGCCTCAGCACGACTAACATTTTAAGCAGATATTCTCTGGTATGGAGGCTCTCCTGTGCAAGGTGGGATGTTTAGCAGCATCCTTGGCCTCTACCCACTAGGTGCCAGCAGCACCTTCGTACACCCCCCCCCCCGTTGTGACAATCAAAAAGGTCTCCAAACAAGTTGCCAAATGTCCCCTAGGGAACAAAACTGCAACCGTGGCTGAGAATCACTGACCCAGCCTGTAACTCAAAAGTACCACAAGGTAGACACCGTGTACTAAAAGCCTGGAAAGACTTCATTCCTAGCCAGCAAAACATATAACATTAAAAACAGTTTCTTTTCTTGACTGCCTTCCGCCCAATTTATGAGAAACCTGACGTGTAAGCTATACCACTGCGTGCACATGAAGATATCTGGCTGAACTGGTACAATTACTCCCTTCAACTTTCCAGTGACAAGGGAACCAATCTACAGCAGCTACCACACCGAAGGGGGGAAAAAACATGACAAAGTATGTCATTTCTGCCAATTCAAAACCAAAACAAGGCAATCTCAAAACACTAACATTGCTCCCGAATTCTGCATGCACAAAAAAACAACAAAAACAAAAAACCAACAACAACAACAACAACCTGGGTCTGCACGAGCAGACTCCCAAGCTTGAAGAGGAAGAACCTGGGAGGGAAGGCAGAATGCCAGGTTCTGAAGACTGGTATCCATAAAGAGATCCAAACACTGGTTCTCACTTACGAGCCCTAAATCCGGGACAATTAGAATCCACTCCCCTTGCCAGATTAGTCAGCCAGGTACACCCCGGGGCTGCTTCCCCAAAGCAAACTAAATGAAAGCGAGGCTATCAGGGGATTTCGGATTCCCCACCCCCCCCACCCCACGGAAAGAGGGAGCCACAAGCTGTGGAGTAGCAGCAACCCCCAAAACGCAATTCACCATCTACAGAAGACCCATCCCTTCTTGATCTTGGGGGGGCGGCGGGGGGTCCTTCACGGGTGTTCACAAACTACAGCACCAGAATCACGTGGGGGAACTTGTTAAACAGGCAGATCCCCGTCCCGCCCCCATGAGGGTCCGACCTGACGGCCGAAAATCGAGGTGTTTACCAAGGGCCCCAGGTGATTCCTATTCATGCTGAAGTTGGAAAACCACTGCTTCAGCATTGTTTTCCCCCTAACTTGGAGACCACAGAAAATCTACAGGCTTGCAGTTGGCTCCGAAACCACCGGGGCTTCTGTCCAGGCTCTTCTGGGGCTGTAAATGGTTAGCTCTGTCATCCGAAAGGGTGAGCCGAGCTCGGGCAGGCCCCAAGGTCGGCCCCGCGGCCCCCGCACTGGGCTCCGGGCAGAACCGGCCCGGCCTCTCCCGGCCCACGGGGACCCGAGGGACTCCCGGCCCCGTGACGTGACCAGGCCTCAGCCGCGAGCGCCCGGCCGGACGCCCTCGCGGCCAGGCCTCCTCAGGCAGGGCCAGTTAGCCCCCGGGCCCCTCCCCGGTCACAATGGCAGCTCGCGACCGGGAAACAGTCGCCCCGGAGCCGGGTGGCCCCCGGGCCGGAGCGCCGCCCCCCAGCCCGAGTACGGACCTTCTCCAGGGACGCGTCCATGGCTGAGGCGGCCGGCGGAGCCCGATGGAGGCTCCGCGGCCCCGGCGCTACTTCCGCCTCCCGCGGCCCGCCGTGGTTTCCACGCTGGCAGCGCTGACGTCCCCCGCGGCCGCGGCCGGCGGGGCGGAGACGAGGAGGAGCTGCCCGGCGTCGCCGCGGGGT